TTTACTTTTACTTTACGTTTACTTTACTTACTTACTTACTTACTTACGTAGTAATACTACTTACTTACTTACTTACTTCTTCTTCTTCTTATTTCTCTCTCTCTCTCTCTCTCTCTCTCTCTCTCTCTCTCTTTCTTCTCTCTCTCTCTCTCTCTCTCTCTTTCTCTCTCTCTCTCTCTGTTTCTTTTTGCTTTTTTTTTTCCCTGACATTTACCGATTTATAGGGATTTTTCCCAATTTTTTCTTAGGTTATTTCACTCTTTGGGTGGGTGGACTTGGGTAAGTCAACTCAGATGCCTCCCAAGTAACTCGGCCAGGCTGCAAGCCAATTTTAAAAACATTGAATAAAAAAAAAAGTTTGTTGTGGACACCTCAACTATAAAAGTACAAGAACAACCTTAGTAGGTTCAAGATGGAATCTCTAAGATTCCTTTGTGTGTGGATGGTGTCTGTAATTCTAGGATTCATAAGGTTTAATTTTATGGATAGAATTCACAAACTGGTGAAAAACTTCAGTTTTACCAAGAACGTACAGAGAACAGAAATGGACAGGGACTTGCCTCGATTGGGGGACTGGTCTCCCGGCCAAAGTAAGGTCCAGCACAGGGCCAAATGGCCCTAAAAATTTATAAAACATTAAGAAAAACATTGAAAAATAAAAAAATGTATTAAAAGTAAATTCAAACCTAAAACACCTTCAAAAAGTTAAAACAAGGTAAAACAAGTAGAAGAAAACATGGATTTAAAATAAAAAATAAAAAACCAAATTTATAGTTTGAAATATTTTTAAAAATTCCAAAAAAAAGGAAAAATATAAAACAGAGGATTGTATATTATGAGCCCATTTAACATTGTTACAAGGAGGTCACAATTACTCAGCCATTAGATGTCATATTGGATGGCTTGGGTTGTGTCATGAAGTCTGAGGATTTATTTACTTGTTTATTTATTTTGAACTTCGAGTCTAATCAATGGCACACTTACAACCACAGATTTAAAATCTGATGGACAAGAGTGCCTGTGACCTTCTTGTACTAAAAGTAAATGGTCTCTTTGTATACTTTTCCATATAAAAATGTGATTATGGCAAGAAACATTCACCAATCTTTGCCAAATACGTCTAAATCACGTAAGAAAAAATTGCATAACATAATTTTATTTTTTACAATTTTTTGCATTTTTTGGATTTTTTTTTAAATAACTGAGTCGTCGCACAACTTGGGGGCAGGGCAAGGCCATGTAACTTGGTTTCACGAGCGTAACACAGCTGAGTCTGAGTAGACTCGGCAGAGTCGAAAAGTTAAGACTACAAGAGTCAAAAGCTAAACTTCTTCATGGGATGACAAGTTCTATCTAAGACAAATGGGAACATAAATGTCTGACCAACTTAACAACATACATGATGAAGCCCAAAAATACTGCCACATGGTTAGTATGTAAGGTTTCACACTGTTTGATACATCATGAGCCAAAAATTGCTTTAAAATAGTGACATTTCAAGCACGAGGAACCTCTAGTAACTACCAAGCTCAATAGGCACAAACAAAACATATTCATATAGCAAAATACATGCTTATCCAGCAACTTGAGTCCAATATGGATCTATTGCTTGTATCTTCAATTTGTTCAACAGTTCAACACACTAGAGAAAGTAAATGAAGGGGACGGCCATAGAAGATATCATCAGTAATAAGGACAAGAATTATGCACAAGATAAATGCAATAAATTGCTATTTGCTAACCTTGACTAAAGCTGTGCCAAGATAAACAAGAGCAGCTTTTACACAAGTTCCAAATGTGTCATACTCAGATCTGCAAGCAAGGTCATTAATCTCAATAATAATCATAGAAATACGAATATAACATATTACTCCAACTGTGATTATTAGAAAGACATATTTCTTTGATGGCAAAGATAATGTATCAGAAACAAACAAATATTCAAAGACGTAACAAACTCAATCAACATCTCTATCATAGACTCTACAAACAACTAGACAAGCACATATGGATGTGGAGGTAACCAATACTCAATTACCAGTACCGAATATATGCCAAATTATTTCATTCAAAAAAATCAAGTAAAACATTGAGATAGTTGAGAAATCTAACTTAAAGAAGATTGAGTGGGCAGGATATGCTCCCTTCATTGCAAATTTTTTTCTAAAAAAAGCCTCCAGCACAATTTGCTCCCAACACTGTATTTAATCATCTATCTGTACTTGCTCAGTAGACAAATAAAATAATGAAGATACTCAAGGAAATTTGATACGTGGAATACTTGGACCTTTAACATTATAGACTTAGAACTTGCCAAATACACAGTGGGAACTAGCATAAGAGTGGAAACATGAGCATGCATGGAAACATAAGCAAGAGTACATACGTAGTAAATGCCAAGAGCAAAACATGAACTTTTCTGGAACTGTTAAGAAATTTCCATAGCAGTTAAAGCCATAAGAAAATCCTAGGATATATGGGCTTACTTTGATGTTGGAAACACCTTGGCGTTGCAAATTCAGGTGCTCAAGAAATTACGCACCTGGAAATTCTTAAGTCAAGACTGAAAAACAATATTGACGTAAAACTTTATGACAAAATATATCATATGTAATGAATTACTGGAAATTCATCATCAATCCGGACATGGCAGGGTAATATCAGTCCCTATAACTTGGGTTTGATGTAGAGCCAAAGGAACTTGAAGGCACCTATGAAACCAAATATTTGGAAATTTTTCTGTGGGATCTCGAGAGGTGTGTTGGTCTCTTCGATTATGCAGTGACTCAAAATCCGGTGACATGGGTCAGGCTCACTTCAGTCACTTGGTTCCAATTGGGCGGGATGGAAAACACTGAAACTGAGCCAAGTTTTACTAGAATTCCAGTCCCGCTTTCTATTTTACCCATAGACTCAGCAATTTTGACCACTGACTCTGTTGAGTGGGTGGCCTTCTCGGGCATGAGACCTTGGGACCCTGGCAGATCCAAGCCCGAGCCAGGATGCATCATTAAAGGCAGATCTCATGAATCTGGACGATTCAACTGTTTGTTGCTAAGGTGTTACACAAAACGTGAACTGAAATAATAACACTACGGGGGCCTGGTGGCGGGTAATGAAGGAAGAATTAGAATCTTTATTTACTAATCCATCATGGCTACTCTTACAATTTCTTTGGGAAGAAATACATTATTGATGGTTGTATGCTTTTATTTTGTTTGAGTTTTTGTTACAGAGCTAACAATTCAAAATTAGATTAAGCTTCTAAAGACAGTTTTGGCTTCTAGAACTTATAGTAATAATCAGAAACGAGTGATTGCTTGTATGTGAAGCAATGAACCCTCAAACTCGAACCCTCTCAAAAGACTAAATAAAATCAACAAATGACTCCTTGTTCCCCATCAATGTTAACCATCAAATTCTGTTTTAAACTTACCAACTGGGCATCAACCCTTGAATCATGATTGAAACATATGAACTAGCACACTGACAAATGGCCAAAACTTTAAACACTCGGAGATAAAACAATCCCTCTCTCCATAATCACAAGATGATCAATTTGTAGGGTTTGAGATCAATGCAAAACACAATCATCTAGCATTGTGTTCGACAAATGTGCGTTCAAATTCCCAACTTATTAGACAATTTGAACTGATAAAAAGTGTTCCATATGGTTCACGAATGGAGAGGAAGCACATAAACCATGGTTTTAGGACCAATTCCCATGTAGCTACGTTAGGAACATGGCTACTCTACAATTAAATCACAGTTTCATCCAATGTTTTCAAACTCAGCTCGGGCCTCGGTCTCGCCCCTTGCCCAAGCTAAGTACCTCGGTTGAGTAGTGGAAAGGGCCAAAAAGCCCTAAAAAAAAAAAGAATGTTAAAAACAAATCAATCGTAGTAAAAATCAGATTAAATAAAAAACAACATAAAAAGTTTAAAAAAGCTGAAAAACAATATACAAAACCGGGATTTTGGAAAAACTAATTTGTTGTTGGATACATTTCAGAAACAACCCAAAAAAAAAAGATGACAAGATAAAATAGGGCATATGGAAAGAAAAAACCAAAAATTCATCGTCAGAAACATGGGAATTACATTTATACATCGATTCCACCATCTAATATATTTTTAATGATCTTTTAAAATATTTTTAGCAAACCTGAGTTGCGCCTACGTACTCAACTCGGCAAGGAGCCGAGTCCGTGTGCTCTCAGCTGAGTTTTCAATCACTGGTTTGATCAAAACCAATATAGGTTTGTTTCTTTAAGCCTTAGCTGAGTCTAAACTAAATCAATGTAAAAGGTAAGCCATTAATACGCAGATCCCATAAAAAAATTAGTCACAATCGATGTTAATTTTTTGATACTTAAATCACATAAAAGGAAAAAACGAAGAAACCAATCCTTAATTGGTAATCCAATTGATAGGCTCACGAATAAATACAATCTAGGTCAAGCATCTTCGATCCAGTAAGAGATAGACTGAGAGAGACAGAGAGAGAGAGCGCACGCCAAATTGAAGAGAGAAAGTAAAAAGGACTTACAATGGGGTGGCCGAGTAATAAACGGCGTGAGGACCAAAAGTGAGAGCAGCGCAGTTGAAGAAGTGAAAGAGCGTCATGTTCCCCCTCTCTCTCTCTCTGCTGGAGATCGGAGCTCGCTTCTTGTGGTAAACCCCGAATTCGAGCGCGAGTTCAATGCTCAGGACTTAAAATCGATAAAAATGACGTATATATCCTCAATCATTTTCCAAAAGATGAACGTGAAGTCACCAGGGAAATTTACGCATCATGAATGGTTGGAAAGTGAATTGAGTTAAGAATTTTGTTGGATAACAAGATACCTTCCAAATAGGGAGAAATCGTAAGAGAAGTCACTAGGGAAATTTACACACGGGCCGGATTAATGATCCGTTATAACGAAATGGCTCGAAATCTTCCGTTATTACTTTGAAAGACGAAATATCAAAATTTTTTTTTTTTTTGACAAGTGTGACTCGAATATGATGTTTAAAACGTAAGGTGAAATCGTAAGAGAAGTCACTTGGGAAATTTACACACAGGCCGGATTAATGATCCGTTATAACGAAATGGCTGGAAATCTTCCGTTATTACTTTGAAAGTCAAAATATCGAAATTTTTTTTTTTTTTTTTTGACAGGTTTGACTCGAATATGATGTTTAAAACATGGGGAGAAATCGTAAGAGAAGTCATTAGGGAAATTTACACACGGGCCGGATTAATGAACCGTTATAACGAAATGGCTCAAAATCTTCCGTTATTACTTTGAAAAACGAAAATATCAAATTTTTTTTTTTTTTTACTTCGAATATGATGTTTAAAACATCGAATCCACTATCACCTTTTATCTTTAATCCCTCGCCTCTCTCTCTAACTCTTCAAACCCCAAATCTACCGTCTCATCTCTCTCTACATATTAAACCCTCGCCTCTCTCTCTCTAACCCTTCGAACCCCAAACCTATCGTCTCATCTCTCTCTACATACTCAACCCCAAGCCTCTCTCTCTAATCCTCCAAACCCATCATCAGAGCTTTCCACCCTTTCCGTCCTCACCTTCGATGGAAACCCCCCCCCCCCCCCCCCCACCCAAAACTGCGAGGGCAGTTGTTCACAGGGGCATCGTCATTGATGAGCAAAACCAGAGCAGAGGGACGGCTTCAACCCTAACAAGAGGTGAAGTGATAGGAAGGGGCAAAAAGGCCTAACCCCAAAAGAAAACGGGCCAAACTCGAAGGGGTTCTCAATGAACTCCATTGAGGCCAGGAGGAGGTGTTATCTTTGGGCCTAAACCTAAGGACCTGGTCCATTAAATTTAATATGACGGAGAAGAGGCTGGCGATTTCGACTGCGACCTACCTCAAGGGAGTTGGGAAGGGGTTAATATTCGGTCCGATGGGTTAAAAATAAATAAAAAAAATTGAAATTCCGTCCTTCAGGATAATAACGGGCCAATTTTGAGCCGTTTCGTTATAACGGACCTTTAATTCGGTACGTATGTAAATTTCCCTCTTGACTACAAAGAGTAAAGTTAAAACTACCTTAACTTTTCTCTAGATTTTATCCATTCGTTCGATGTAGAAACCCCATGATATGCACTTTGTCGAAAAACACAGGCAGCAAGGAACTACATGTTTTAACTGTACGTCATTTTTTAACGGGGTTGGGGAGTTATAGCCTCCATCAAATTGCTAATTTGGACTCTTGTATAATTTTTAACCCACAATTGAATAGTAGCTCGATTTTAGCTTTTGAATAGTATGCCAAACCCTTAAACTTTTAGTAAATGAGATCAAACGGTTTGAGGAGATCAAATTTTGTTTAGGGTTTTGAGTGACCTGCTACAATTTTTTGGACTTTTAGGACACATCATGCACCAATCCATAAGTGCTCCTTTGTAATTTTGCCACTTTTTTATTCTCCACGTCCCATGGACCATACTATCATAATTATTTTCACTTTATCTTAGTCATCCGACATCGTAATGGCCGAGTTTTCATGGAGATTTTGGCAAGAAAATTGGATTACATAGTTTGGGCCTGATCTACATTCATTTTTAACTGCTTTAAACCATGACGTTTATTAGCCATGCAATCAAGAGTTTTGTTCGATCACAGCTGATCTCAAAGCTCATGGTTTACTGTTGAGGTCCTCTATCACCCAGAGTAAGGATCCTCCAAAGTTAGCCAAAATATGTCTTAATTTTATAGGCCTTTTCACCATTTTCTATACGTTCTAGCAGTTTTCTAGCATATGTGTTACCGGATTCCTATTGGAGCGAACAAACCTGTGGCATTCTAACCAGTGGGCTGTCCTTTATTGGGACTCGTCATTTACCCTTCATTTTTAAGGGTTTTTAGCCAAAGTGATGCACTTTAATGCATGTCCCTAGATTCAAAGCCTATTTTCAGGTACACGATTGCCATATATAGATCATCAGGTGCTTTGATGCAAAAAATACAACCCAAACACTTGCAAGACACACCAGAAGAAAAGCTTATTTCTTGTACCTCTCTTGGACTTATGTTGTCTTCACAAAGCACTGCAGATATTTTGATCTTACCCTTTAGAAAGATTTTTTTCCTTTTTAAAATTGAGTGGATGATTTTGTTATTCTTATATGAACAATGTTAAAAAAGAAAATTTTGATTTTGAATTCGTAAAAGTATAAATCTCAAAATTTACCAAACGGATGGTCTAGATTCTTTGTAGGAGAGGGACTCATTTTGACCATATCTAAGCTGCAAATTGAATTTTATTTTTTTAGAATAAATTATTGGGATGAAAAAAAAATGTTTGTGCAAAATTTGGGGTGATACAAATGCCACAAACATGGTTTTTTGAGAGTGTGGTTTCATATATAATAATAACATAGTGACATAAAAATATAAAGAAATCACTATCATAATCTATTGTTAGATGTGAAATCAAGCGGCTTAGAGTGATTAATTGATTAGTCACAAAGTCCAAAGTAGCTTAAAAAAGAAACAATTCTAGGCTAGGGTGTGTCTTAAACTTTCTTTTATTAGGATTGTCAATGTATTTATGAAAATTCGGATCAATCAAATGGCCTTAATATAGTTTTCCAACTTTTGTTTCATTATGTAACTATTCTATTGCAATCGTTATTTCACTTCTTCCATTTTTTTTTATTGGGATAATCCTAGTGCTATACATTTTGTAATCTAGTTTTCCGTAAGAGAAGTAAACAATTCATTGCCATTTTTTTTTTAAAAAAAAGCTCATTGGTTGATTTATGAAGCTTATTGTTTAACCAACGGCTGATTTGTCCACCCAGACGATGACACTAAACTACGTCCTTTTTATTCTCAATAAATCGCTCCCTCATTGATATTGGAGTAAACTTATTTTATGTACTATGTTGTTACTATATTGCCAATTGCTTCCTTGTTTCTGAATTTACAGAAAATTTATTATTTTATTTTGAATTTAAAAGCATTTTTTTTTCCTATATGGGATTGTATATCATGAGACCATTTATTTCTAGTACAAAGAGATCATAATCACTCTTAGCTATTAGATGTGAAAAATCCAATAGATGAAAGTGTGTCGTAATATTCAAGAAATTTATTTTGGACTTTGTGCGACAACAATGATACATTCTCAACGACCCGATTTCAAATCTAACTGTCAATGATGATTGTGACCTCCTTATATCAAAAGCAAATGGTCTCATTGTATACATTTCATTCTTATATTTCATATACTACACTCATATCCCGCTTTTTGAAAGCATGTAGTGTAATTTAATTTAAGAGAAAGACGTATAGCCTCCTCTTTAAAATCATAATCCCAAATAACCTTAAGGTCCATAGAAAGCGTTAGATCACTCCAAGTCAAGAGAAATGACGCTTAACCCATTCTTTACTTTTTTCATTGACTAAATTATAACATTTACCTTTTTATTTTAATTTTTTGAACATTAACCAGAAAAAGAATACATATAAAATACAAAGGATCGATAGGAGGCACTAAATAAAGTTGGTGGCCACTAACGATTAATGATGAACACCCCATTTAGCAAGAGTATCTGCTTTCATATTCGCCTCGCAAAAACAATAAAATATCTCGAGAGAAAAAAAAAGATAGTAACTATGTAATTTCATCCAAAAAGGGTTGTAGTATCCAAAGAGGTTTAATTTCTCCTTTACACCATACAACAATGTTTACTGAATCCCCCCCAAAGATTTTATGTCCCTCCATTGATGATAATAATTTTAAACCCTCTAGAATTGCCCTTGCTTTAGCTTCATTGACAGTGGTCACACCATACAGTATAGATGAGTATAATTATCCCTTCATGATCTCTAGTAAGTCTCTCATGACCGTTAATTTTGGATTCTCTAAAGAGCTCCCATCAAAGTAGAACTTGATACAAGGTGGTGGTGGAGGAGATCAAATAGCATGTCTTCTAACTGAAGCGATTGGCACCTTGAAAACTTCAAGTGGGTTAATGATGATTTGGTCAAAAGACACCAAAGCCCCATACTTGTGACTCTTTATCCACTCAGCTGCCCTAGTCAATATGACAAGAGTAATGATTCTATGAGGCCTTCTCACACCCATATGTGTAGGACCCCAAAGGATCACCATTAAATTTGGCATAGAGATCTAAAAAAGTTATCACATGGGTGTGAGACTTGACTTTTTTAGAGATCTATGCTAAATTTAATGGTGATCCTTTGGGGTCCTACACACATGGGTGTAGGAGGGTCTCATAGGATAATTACGCTTTCTAATAACCCCGTCATACAAATAGAATTGGATATGCCTCTTTTAACCTACTTGTGAGTTTCACAAGATAAAAAATAAGATTGATAAATGTTTGTAATTTGGACAATGAAAATAGTATAGAGAGATTCAACGTCTTTTTTTTAAAAAAAAAAAACTGGGAGAAGGTTCACGGGTTTCCATAAACAAGGAGTCATTTAGGATTATGATTTTAGAGAACATGGTATAGGTCTTTATCTCTTCAATTTTATTTTTCTATACATTGGGATGAATTTAGGACATGCATACTTATTACCTCATGCACCTGTAAAAAAACATTAAAAATAATTTGAAGAAAATAAAATAACAAAAATATCCATCAATCTTGTATGGGTATTTTGGTCATTTATTATTAGTAAATTGTTTTTTCATAGGTTTTTATACATTTGTGTGATGATGAAAATTACAAATGTCCCAAATCACGCTTAATATGATGAATAGAAAAAATAAAATAAAAAATACAC